GAGGGAACATTGTCTATATCATTGTGAGGGACCAGGATCTATATCATTGTGAGGGACCAGGATCTATATCATTGTGAGGGACCAGGATCTATATCATTGTGAGGGAACATTGTCTATATCATTGTGAGGGACCAGGATCTATATCATTGTGAGGGACCAGGATCTATATCATTGTGAGGGACCAGGATCTATATCATTGTGAGGGACCAGGATCTATATCATTGTGAGGGACCAGGATCTATATCATTGTGAGGGACCAGGATCTATATCATTGTGAGGGACCAGGATCTATATCATTGTGAGAGGTGAGGTTTTCGTGGTATTCTTGGAAATAGATTGAAATACATACAATAGAAGTTAAATATCTTGAGAGTGAGAGTGGTCGACATATTTGGCCAGAAGAGCAAAATGGACAACAGTCAATTGAAACAAACACAGTTATTGTAAAGTAGTTATAAAATATATATTTGCTATTAAGATAAAAAATTATCGTGATTTCGTTTTACACACACACACACACACACACACACACACACACACACACACACACACACACACACACACACACACACACACACACACACACACACACACACACAAGAGACATTAAGCGAGAAAATGGAGTACTAATATATTTTACCTCAGAGGGAAAATCTTGGCCTTATCATTTCTTACCTATCAATAACATGTTAAGTTATATCACCAGTAAAATTAAACAAGTTAATTTCATATAAAAATACACTGAGAAAAAATTAATAACGAAGTCAAGAGTTTCCTACACACGTTAAAACGCCATTAGAAAAGCATTAACAGCTTAGGGGCAGAGCAGTCATTAACCACTGAGATATACAGTTAGCAAAACAGCTTAAAATAACATTCACAGCACAAAGGAAATAGTATTGTTAAACATGACCATATCAGTGCACAGTACACAGAATGAGTGTCGGTATTAACCAATTGATTTCACAGTAACATCTTAGTAGCAGTAGCAGTAGTAGAAAAGTATTTATGCTACAGTCTCAGGAGTTTCATCTTGCTCAAATAATGTGTGTAGTATATAAATTACTACAAATATTATTGAAGATGAAACTTGCTCTGATGAAGGCGAATTGTGCCGAAAACGCTTGAATCATTCTCTATTTCTACAATTCTGCGTGATCAGTACCAGACACCTGCCTTAACCCACTCAGCCACCAGAGCCTTAACCCACTCAGGCACCAGAGCCTTAACCCACTCAGCCACCAGAGCCTTAACCCACTCAGCCACCAGAGCCTTAACCCACTCAGCCACCAGAGCCTTAACCCACTCAGCCACCAGAGCCTTAACCCACTCAGCCACCAGAGCTTTAACCCACTCAGCCACCAGAGCCTTAACCCACTCTGCCACCAGAGCCTTAACCCACTCAGCCACCAGAGCTTTAACCCACTCAGCCACCAGAGCCTTAACCCACTCAGCCACCAGAGCCTTAACCCACTCAGCCACCAGAGCCTTAACCCACTCAGCCACCAGAGCCTTAACCCACTCAGCCACCAGAGCCTTAACCCACTCAGCCACCAGAGCTTTAACCCACTCAGCCACCAGAGCCTTAACCCACTCAGCCACCAGAGCCTTAACCCACTCAGCCACCAGAGCCTTAACCCACTCAGCCACCAGAGCCTTAACCCACTCAGCCACCAGAGCCTTAACCCACTCAGCCACTAGAGCCTTAACCCACTCAGCCACCAGAGCCTTAACCCACTCAGCCACCAGAGCCTTAACCCACTCAGCCACCAGAGCCTTAACCCACTCAGCCACCAGAGCCTTAACCCACTCAGCCACCAGAGCCTTAACCCACTCAACCACCAGAGCCTTAACCCACTCAGCCACCAGAGCCTTAACCCACTCAGCCAACAGAGCCTTAACCCACTCAGCCACCAGAGCCTTAACCCACTCAACCACCAGAGCCTTAACCCACTCAACCACCAGAGCACAAAATAGCCTTTGAACCAAGAACTCTACTGAGCTCCCGCAGCAGGAAGTCAGAGGTGATGTTCACAGCTGGGAAGTCAATGTGTATATTGTCAAATACTTCAGTTTACTGGATATAACAGCTGCAGGTGGTGTACCGTGTACAGCAGGTGGTGTACCGTGTACAGCTGGTGGTGTACCGTGTGCAGCTGGTGGTGTACCGTGTACAGCTGGTGGTGTACCGTGTACAGCTGGTGGTGTACCGTGTACAGCTGGTGGCGTACTGTGTGCAGCTGGTGGTGTACCGTGTGCAGCTGGTGGTGTACCGTGTACAGCTGGTGTACAGCTGGTGGTGTACCGTGTACAGCTGGTGGTGTATCGTGTACAGCTGGTGTACAGCTGGTGGTGTACCGTGTACAGCTGGTGGTGTACCGTGTACAGCTGGTGGTGTACCGTGTACAGCTGGTGGTGTACCGTGTACAGCTGGTGGTGTACCGTGTACAGCTGGTGGTGTACCGTGTACAGCTGGTGCTGTACCGTGTACAGCTGGTGTACAGCTGGTGGTGTGGTGGTGTACCGTTTACAGCTGGTGGTGTACCGTGTACAGCTGGTGGTGTACCGTGTACAGCTGGTGTACAGCTGGTGGTGTACCGTGTACAGCTGGTGGTGTGGTGGTGTACCGTGTGCAGCTGGTGGTGTACCAGTTGAAATAGAAAGGTTATCTTGAGGTTATCTTGAGATGATTTCGGGGCATTAGTGCCCCCGCGGCCCGGTCCGCGACCAGGCCTCCACCCCCAGGAAGCAGCCCGTGACAGCTGACTAACTCCCAGGTACCTATTTACTGCTAGGTAACAGGGGCATTCAGGGTGAAAGAAACTTTGCCCATTTGTTTCTGCCTCGTGCGGGAATCGAACCCGCGCCACAGAATTACGAATCCTGCGCGCTATCCACCAGGCTACGAGGCCCCTATCCACCAGGCTACGAGGCCCCTATCCACCAGGCTACGAGGCCCCTATCCACCAGGCTACGAGGCCCCTATCCACCAGGCTACGAGGCCCCTATCCACCAGGCTACGAGGCCCCTATCCACCAGGCTACGAGGCCCCTATCCACCAGGCTACGAGGCCCCTATCCACCAGGCTACGAGGCCCCTATTCACCAGGCTACGAGGCCCCTATTCACCAGGCTACGAGGCCCCTATCCACCAGGCTACGAGGCCCCTATCCACCAGGCTACGAGGCCCCTATCCACCAGGCTACGAGGCCCCTATCCACCAGGCTACGAGGCCCCTATCCACCAGGCTACGAGGCCCCTATCCACCAGGCTACGAGGCCCCTATCCACCAGGCTACGAGGCCCCTATCCACCAGGCTACGAGGCCCCTATCCACCAGGCTACGAGGCCCCTATCCACCAGGCTACGAGGCCCCTATCCACCAGGCTACGAGGCCCCTATCCACCAGGCTACGAGGCCCCTATCCACCAGGCTACGAGGCCCCTATCCACCAGGCTACGAGGCCCCTATCCACCAGGCTACGAGGCCCCTATCCACCAGGCTACGAGGCCCCTATCCACCAGGCTACGAGGCCCCTATCCACCAGGCTACGAGGCCCCTATCCACCAGGCTACGAGGCCCCTAGGTGTCTAGAATTACGTTACGGATTCTTTACATGAATTAATATTTTAATTCCTAAAAAATTCATAAAATATTTTTTCTGACAAGGTTATCAGCAAATGTCACACCTTGGATATTATATATTTATTTCACACTCTTCTTTATGGCATAAAGGTATTGATCCAAAGAGAAATAATGATCATTGGTCATCACCTGTATCTCGGGAACCTTTCAATACATTTACTTGGAATTTTTGGTAAATAGATTTTTTGGAGTACCGTAACGTGATCAATCCACCCTGCCTTAACGTGATCAAACCACCCCTGTCGTAACGTGATCAATCCACCCTGCCTTAACGTGATCAAACCACCCCTGTCGTAACGTGATCAATCCACCCTGCCTTAACGTGATCAAACCACCCCTGTCGTAACGTGATCAATCTCACCCTGCCGTAACGTGATCAATCCCCCCTGTCGTAACGTGATCAATCTCACCCTGCCAAAATGTGATCAATAACCTCTGCCGTAACGTGATCAATCCCCCTGTCGTAACGTGATCAATCTCACCCTGCCATAATGTGATCAATCCCCTCTGCCGTAACGTGATCAATCCCCCCTGTCGTAACGTGATCAATCTCACCCTGCCATAATATGATCAATCCCCTCTGCCGTAAAGTGATCAATCCCCCCTGTCGTAACGTGATCAATCTCACCCTGCTATAACGTGATCAATCTCACCCTGCCGTAACGTGATTAATCTCACCCTGCCGTAACGTGATCAATCTCACCCTGCTATAACGTGATCCATCCCCCTGCGATAACGTGATCAATCCCCCCTGCGGTAACGTGATCAATCCCCCCTGCCGTAACGGGATCAATCTCACCCTGCCGTAACGTGATCAATCTCACCCTGCCGTAACGTGATCAATCTCACCCTGCCGTAACGTGATCAATCTCACCCTGCCGTAACGTGATCATTCCCCCCAGCCGTAACGTGATCAATCCCCCCTACGGTAACGTGATCATTCCCCCCTGCCGTAACGTGATCAATCCCCCCACCCGTAACGTGATCAATCCCCCCCCTGCCGTAACGCGATCAATCTCCCCCAGCCGTAACGCGATCAATCTCCCCCCAGCCGTAACGCGATCAATCTCCCCCCAGCCGTAACGTGATCAATCCCCCCTACAGAAACATGATCAATATCCCTTTTTTCCGTTCTGTGGGGATATTTTCTTCCCCCACACTGTAATATTCCTCCCCGCCCCCCTGGGAGTGGGGGCAAGATTGCAGGTTGCAGCCAACTTTGCTACTAAACAATCAACGGTAAAATACAGGTATTGTGCACAACCCGGCCCGATATATTACTCATTAATCCTCGCTCGCAACTTTGTGTGATCAGCTAATGTTAAAGTTTGAGGTAATGAAAGTTTTAGTTCCATAGTGCCAGTGTGGAGGAGGGCAGTGCCAGTGTGGAGGAGGGCAGTGCCAGTGTGGAGGAGGGCAGTGTCAGTGTGGAGGAGGGCAGTGCCAGTGTGGAGGAGGGCAGTGCCAGTGTGGGGGGAGGGTAGTGCCAGTGTGGGGGGAGGGTAGTGTCAGTGTGGAGGAGGGTAGTGCCAGTGTGGAGGAGGGTAGTGCCAGTGTAAAGGAGGGCAGTGCCAGTGTCGGGGGAGGGTAGTGCCAGTGTGGGGGAGGGTAGTGCCAGTGTGGGGGAGGGTAGTGCCAGTGTGGGGGAGGGTAGTGCCAGTGTGGGGGAGGGTAGTGCCAGTGTGGGGGAGGGTAGTGCCAGTGTTGGGAGGGTAGTGCCAGTGTGGAGGAGGGTAGTGCCAGTGTGGAGGAGGGTAATGCCAGTGTGGGGGAGGGTAGTGCCAGTGTGGGGGAGGGTAGTGCCAGTGTGGCGGAGGGTAGTGCCAGTGTGGGGGAGGGTAGTGCCAGTGTGGAAGAGGGTAGTGCCAGTGTGGAGGAGGGTGGTGCCAGTGTGGAGGAGGGTAGTGCCAGTGTGGGGGAGGGAGGGTAGTGCCAGTGTGGGGGAGGGTAGTGCCAGTGTGGGGGAGGGTAGTGCCAGTGTGGAGGAGGGTAGTGCTAGTGTAAAGGAGGGTAGTGCCAGTGTGGCGGAGGGTAGTGCCAGTGTGGAGGAGGGTAGTGCCAGTGTGGGGGAGGGTAGTGCCAGTGTGGAGGAGGGTAGTGCCAGTGGGGGGGAGGGTGGTGCCAGTGTGGAGGAGGGTAGTGCCAGTGTGGAGGAGGGTAGTGCCAGTGTGGAGGAGGGTAGTGCCAGTGTGGGGGAGGGTAGTGCCAGTGTGGGGGAAGGTAGTGCCAATGTGGAGGAGGGTAGTGCCAATGTGGGGGAGAGTAGTGCCAGTGTGGAGGACGGTAGTGCCAGTGTGGGGGAGGGTAGTGACAGTGTGGGGGAGGGTAGTGCCAGTGTGGAGGAGGGTAGTGCCTGTGTGGGGGAGGGTAGTGCCAGTGTAGGGGTGGGTAGTGCCCGTGTGGAGGAGGGTAGTGCTAGTGTGGAGGAGGGTAGTGCCATTGTGGGGGAGGGTAGTGCCAGTGTGGGGGTGGGTAGTGCCAGTGTGGAGGAGGGTAGTGCCAGTGTGGAGGAGGGTAGTGCCAATGTGGAGGACGGTAGTGCCAGTGTGGGGGAGGGTAGTGACAGTGTGGGGGAGGGTAGTGCCAGTGTGGCGGAGGGTAGTGCCAGTGTGGGGGAGGGTAGTGCCAGTGTGGAAGAGGGTAGTGCCAGTGTGGAGGAGGGTAGTGCCAGTGTGGAGGAGGGTAGTGCCAGTGTGGAGGAGGGTAGTGCCAGTGTGGGGGAGGGTAGTGCCAGTGTGGGGGAGGGTAGTGTCAATGTGGAGGAGGGTAGTGCCAGTGTGGGGGAGGGTAGTGCCAGTGTGGAGGAGGGTAGTGCCAGTGTGGGGGAGGGTAGTGCCAGTGTGGGGGAGGGTAGTGCCAATGTGGAGGAGGGTAGTGCCAGTGTGGAGGAGGGTAGTGCGAGTGTGGGGGAGGGTAGTGCTAGTGTGGAGGAGGGTAGTGCCAATGTGGAGGAGGGTAGTGCCAGTGTGGAGGAGGGTAGTGCCAGTGTGGGGGAGGGTAGTGCTAGTGTGGAGGAGGGTAGTGCCAATGTGGAGGAGGGTAGTGCCAGTGTGGGGGAGGGTAGTGCCAGTGTGGGGGAGGGTAGTACCAGTGTGGAGGAGGGTAGTGCGAGTGTGGGGGAGGGAGGGTAGTGCCAGTGTGGGGGAGGGTAGTGCTAGTGTGGAGGAGGGTAGTGCCAATGTGGAGGAGGGTAGTGCCAGTGTGGGGGAGGGTAGTGCCAATGTGGAGGAGGGTAGTGCCAGTGTGGGGGAGGGTAGTGCCAGTGTGGGGGAGGGTAGTGCCAGTGTGGGGGAGGGTAGTGCCAGTGTGGGGGAGGGTAGTGCCAATGTGGAGGAGGGTAGTGCCAGTGTGGGGGAGGGTAGTGCCAGTGTGGAGGAGGGTAGTGCCAGTGTGGAGGAGGGTAGTGCCAGTGTGGAGGAGGGTAGTGCCAGTGTGGAGGAGGGTAGTGCCAGTGTGGGGGAGGGTAGTGCCAGTGTGGGGGAGGGTAGTGCCAGTGTGGGGGAGGGTAGTGCCATTGTGGAGGAGGGTAGTGCCAGTGTGGGGGAGGGTAGTGCCAGTGTGGAGGAGGGTAGTGCCAGTGTGGAGGAGGGTAGTGCCAGTGTGGAGGAGGGTAGTGCCAGTGTGGAGGAGGGTAGTGCCAGTGTGGAGGAGGGTAGTGCCAGTGTGGAGGAGGGTAGTGCCAGTGTGGAGGAGGGTAGTGCGAGTGTGGGGGAGGGTAGTGCCAGTGTGGGGGAGGGTAGTGCCAGTGTGGGGGAGGGAGGGTAGTGCCAGTGTGGAGGAGGGTAGTGCCAGTGTGGAGGAGGGTAGTGCCAGTGTGGAGGAGGGTAGTGCCAGTGTGGAGGAGGGTAGTGCCAGTGTCGAGGAGGGTAGTACCAGTGTCGAGGAGGTTAGTGCTGCCACTCAGGTGTACCTGTGCTGCAGGTACTCAAGTCCTCTCTACAGTGATACGATCAGCCGTTCAAATACTGTTTACATTGATAAGATCAGCTATTTCAAATTCGAATTAAATTTGATTCTCTAGGATAAAGACTCAAAATGCGTGTTGTCAAAGCACATTGTTTTATAACAATAGTGTAAGATATTTAAAGGATTTCTGCCGGATTCACTCGACCATGTGGTAACCTACATATTATATGTGAAGTTAGAAGCATTAATGCAACATGTAGCGAGTGAGGTGTGGCTGAGGTCTGGTGACTTAGTGATATCACATCAAACCTGTCTCCTGAAGCCCACATAACATGAATAACATCGGCGGCGTATGCGAGGCTAGTTAACATCAGAACTGCTCTGAGGAACCTGTGTACGGAATCATTCAGAACCTTTTATACCACATATGTAAGACCAATCCTGGAGTATGCGGCCCCAGCAAGGATGAGTAAGAAAAATACCTCTGAGAAAATTCTCAGAGGTATTGACAGGTTAGATAAGCATAAACTGTTTAACCAGGGTGGTACACGAACAAGGGGACACAGGTGGTACTCGAACAAGGGGACACAGGTGGAAACTGAGTACCCACATGAGCCACAGTGACGTTAGAAAGAACTTTTTCAGTGTCAGAGTAGTTTACAGGTGAAATGCATTAGGGGGTGATGTGGTGGAGGCTGACTCCATACACAGTTTCAAATGTAGATATGATAGAGCCCAATAGGCTCAGGAATCTGTACATCAGTTGATTGACAGTTGAGAGGCGGGACCAAAGAGTCAGAGCTCAACCCCCGCAAGCACAACTATGCGAGAACACACCAGAGCGACTGAGGTTAAGAACTCAGCTCAAGCTTGCCAGAGTAAGCGTGTTGTGGCCTTCTGCCTGACCCAACAAGGATCAACTAGTCTGTGGCTGGCGGCTGACAGCCGTCAACACAAAGGTTCAGTATAACTATGTATGGTCAGTGTGGACGGCCAGTGTAAGGCCTGGCAGGGTGACCAGTCTGCTAAGTTCATGTACTCGTTGTGTTCGGGAGTGAGAAGTGTGATGAAGAGTGATAATTAGTGTGACAATGGTTAGCAGAGAGGACCACCTTAGAGCAGTGATCGTGTCAGGTCACCCCCAGTTGGGGGTCACCCCCAGTAACAAGGGTGACCCCAGTTAAGGTCACCCCAGTAACAAGGGTGACCCCAGTTAAGGTCATCCCCAGTAACAAGGGTGACCCCCAGTTAAGGTCACCCCCAGTAACAAGGGTGACCCCCAGTTAAGGTCATCCCCAGTAACAAGGGTGACCCCAGTTAAGGTCACCCCCCAGTAACAAGGGTGACCCCCAGTTAAGGTCACCCCAGTAACAAGGGTGACCCCAGTTAAGGTCACCCCCCGGTAACAAGGGTGACCCCAGTTAAGGTCACCCACAGTAAACCCCCCCCCCTCGCCGGGGACAGGAAGCCACCTCGGACAAACGAGATTCCCTCTTAGCCAACAACTGACCTTCACCAGGACGCAACCCACAACAGTTTTCTTACTCCCTTGTACCTTTTTACTCCTTTGTGAAGAAAAATATAAGTAAAAAAAATGCCCAACCGTCTCAGACCTTCCAAGTTTGTGGGTCTGTGCAGCTGAGTGGGAAACCTCTGAGGAACTTGGGCTGGACGGAATAATACCGACATTAAGTAATGGTAATGTCTTCTCTGGTTATCTTGAGGTTATCTTGAGATAATTTCGGGGCTTTTAGGGTCCCCGCGGCCCGGTCCTCGACCAGGCCTCCACCCCCAGGAAGCAGCCCGTGACAGCTGACTAACACCCAGGTACCTATTTTACTGCTAGGTAACAGGGGCATAGGGTGAAAGAAACTTTGCCCATTGCTTCTCGCCGGCGCCCGGGATCGAACCCAGGACCACAGGATCACAAGTCCTGCGTGCTGTCCGCTCGGCCGACCGGCTCCACTGTGTCCTGGTGGAAATACTTACATTATATATACAAGTAAATGGCGATATTGTTCTATATGGTTTGTTATAAACGTTCATTAATGGTCTAGGAGAGACTGTGGTTATGTGTGGTGACTGATCTCCTCTGTTGTCCTGTGTCCTGTGTCCTGTGTCCTGTGTCTTGTGTCTTGTGTCCTGTGTCTTGTGTCCTGTGTCCTGTGTCTTGTGCCCTGTGTCCTGTGTCCTGTGTCCTGTTTCTTGTGCCCTGTGTCCTGTGTCCTGTGTCCTGTGTCCTGTGTCCTGTGTCTTGTGTCCTGTGTCCTGTATCCTGTGTCTTGTGTCCTGTGTCCTGTATCCTGTGTCCTGTATCCTGTGTCCTGTGTCCTGTGTCCTGTGTCCTGTATCCTGTGTCCTGTGTCCTGTATCCTGTGTCCTGTATCCTGTGTCCTGTGTCCTGTATCCTGTGTCCTGTGTCCTGTATCCTGTGTCCTGTATCCTGTGTCCTGTGTCCTGTGTCCTGTGTCCTGTATCCTGTGTCCTGTATCCTGTGTCCTGTGTCCTGTATCCTGTGTCCTGTGTCCTGTATCCTGTGTCCTGTGTCCTGTGTCCTGTGTCCTGTATCCTGTGTCCTGTATCCTGTGTCCTGTGTCCTGTATCCTGTGTCCTGTGTCCTGTATCCTGTGTCCTGTGTCCTGTGTCCTCAGTGGTGCAACACTCTGCCCTTATGTATCCAGACAAATGAATTGATTGATTCGTAAATACTTCCAATCCCAACACTGTCCTCGTCGTCCCTGCATAATAGATAGGCAAACTTGGCAGAACCAAAATAGACCAAAAAATATATAATTTTTGTAAAAAAAAATTCAAAGGAAATATTTGAAAAAAATATTTATGATTCAATTGACAAAATATATATTTTACTCCCACAAACTAAAATCAAATTATTTTTAAACTCGCTTTACTGGGCTTTTGTGGTGTGGAGCAGGAACACTGTGTGTGCAATGTGTTTGTCAGCTAACGCTGTTGAGAGTAATACCAATATGATTATTTTGTGTTGAACGTTTGCCTCTGTTTGAATAGGCATATATGTGACTACATATGTGACTACACGGCCTCATAGAGTGCCAGGTGTGTCCCTATATGTCCACTGGGACAAGGCCCAGACTGACAGGTACAGCCAGCATGGTTTGTTGGAGCAAAAGCGATTACACTCGAGGAACGGTGAAGTTAATGACATCATTAAGAGGCACCATGCTGCAGCTGGGTGTCAAGCAGAGAGAGAACCTCAAGAGGCACCATGCCACAGCTGGGTGTCAAGCAGAGAGAGAACCTCAAGAGGCACCATGCCACAGCTGGGTGTCAAGCAGAGAGAGAACCTCAAGAGGCACCATGCCACAGCTGGGTGTCAAGCAGAGATAACCTCCTTTCATCATGCTCCCTCCCACCTGAACCACTCCTCCTGCATGACCAGAATGGGACCAGAACCATCGAGTTTTCGCTGCTTCTTGCACCAATATCAAGTCGTATAATGAACTTTTGTCACTAGGCCGGTAAAGTTAGCTGCTGGTGGTCGGCGGTCAGTCATGGGGATGTGAGGCGAGGTTTAACAGGCCAAGCTTCGATTGCTTCAACAGGTAAAATGAAGTAGAGAAGTAATGTCCCTGACTGTCAGTGAGGGCTGGCAGGCGGTCAAACTGTTCGACGTCGGGAAGTGCTACACGTAGACTGTGATGTTGTGAGAGTGAACACAACCATTATGGAGAAGGTGAATGTCTTTTTTCACACTTGACATTATCTCTGGGAATGGTTCGAGTCTCTACTGTCTATGCTGGAAGGAGCCTAGTGTCCACCGCGTGTCATGTCTGGACGCCTGGTTGGGGGGGGGGGGGGTAGATCTTTCCTGGGAATAGGTTTGTGTAGGTGGGTGTTGGTGGGTGTAGATGGGTGTTGGTGGGTGTAGGTTGATGTAGGTGGGTGTAGGAGAGTGTAGGTGGGTGTATGTGGGTGTTGATGGGTGTAGGGGAGTGTAGGTGGGTGTTGGAGGGTGTAGATGGGTGTAGGTGGGTGTTGGAGGGTGTAGATGGGTGTAGGTGGGTGTTGGAGGGTGTAGATGGGTGTAAGAGAGTGAAGGTGGGTATTGGAGGGGTGTAGGAGAGTGAAGGTGGGTGTTGGTTTGTGTAGGTGGGTGTTGGTGGGTGTAGATGGGTGTTGGTGGGTGTAGATGGGTGTTGGTGGGTGTAGGTGGGTGTTGGTAGCTGTAGACGGGTGTAGGTGGGTGTAGATGGGTGTAGGTGGGTGTAGACGGGTGTAGGTGGGTGTAGATGGGTGTAGGTGGGTGTAAGTTGGTTGTAGATGGGTGTAGGTGGGTGTAGACGGGTGTAGGTGGGTGAAGGTGGCTGTAGACGGGTGTAGGTGGGTGTAGACGGGTGTAGGTGGGTGAAGGTGGTTGTAGACGGGTGTAGGTGGGTGTAGACGGGTGTAGGTGGGGGTAGATGGGTGTAGGTGGGAGTAGATGGGTGTACATGGGTGTAAGTGGGGGTGTAGATGGGGTGTAAGTGGGTGTAGATGGGTGTACGTGGGTGTAGATGGGTGTAGGTGAGGGGTATTGTTGATGACTCTTGCTCGAATCATCAATATATTTCTTACTAATTTCTTCACTTAAGAAGGTAGTTTAAAATGTTCTCTGTATGTCTTATTTTCTTCTTCGCGACGGGAAGAATGTTACAAAAAAGTTCTCTCCAAAGAGCATGTGAAGTGAACTTTGGAGAGAACTTTTTGTAAGTTCATTCACACTAAATGGTTGTTTAATGGTTGCTTCACACTAAATGGGTACTCTTAACACATTGAGAAGTAGAAGGGAATGAGTTGCAAATTAGCTGAAGATATATATATATATATATATATATATATATATATATATATATATATATATATAATATATATATATATATATATATATATATATATATATATATATATATATATATATATGGGATGAGGTGATATAAAGGGTTATATACCTTGTTGATATTGCCAGTGGCAGAAATTGAGGCGTGAGCTGGATATTCTCTTTTTTTGCTGAGGCTTGAAGGATGAACCTAAGTACAAGGAAACTGTTGGCGGCTGAATGAGTGTTTGACATGTAGTGTTTTCCCTTTTAAATAGGCAAAGTACCTCGTCTCCAGTACTATTACCAAACTATCAACAGCAAGCTTATTCTTAGGGACATCCTTGCGTCTTCATGACTATGATAAACTAATCAGTTCACTCCTCAGCGGCTGCCCCGGCCAACACTGACGGGGCACCATCTCATTTCAACTCATTCCACTTGGTTGTATATGCTGCAGCTTCTGCTAATTTGTGTCCACTTTCCTCCGTCGCCGGAGGAAAGCTATATCTTGCTCTGGTTAGGCCCCATTTAGATTATGCAGTTCAGTTTTGGTCGCCGTACTATAGAATGTATATAAATTCACTTGAACGCGTCCAGAGTAGGATGACAAAGTTACTCCCCCAAATTAGAAACCTGTCATATGAAGAAAGACTAACAAAGCTTAAATTGCCTCTGTAAATATTATTTGTTTACCGAGAGCATCATGTTCTGTGAAGAACAGAACAGTGTTCCGAGAGAACACCGTGACCCTCGGTGGTGTACTCCACCACAGAACACCGCAGTTCTTGGTAGTTCACGCTGCCACAGAATACAATTAGCCCTCCACAACACCGAACATAAACACACAAGACTGTTATGTCCCCCGACACACAACACCGCGACCATTACCTGATGTCCCAGCCCCCAGAACACCACAGAACACGTGCCTGCGTGGCGTTGTTTACTTCCTGGACAGACTCGCTGTGGCTGGCGGCTCCCAGATCATGGTTTATCCCGCCGCGACACACACACATGACGTGACCTCCTCTAATATTAATCATACATCCTCCCTCGCATTTTGCATCACTTTTGTTGGAGATTTACATCGTCGTGTCGGCGAGAGGAAGAGAGCCACTGCGACGTTGTTCGTTGGAGGGTCAAAGTCGTTTTCGGATTTATTCCAGAGTCAGGTGGAGGAAGCGGTTAGGTTATTCCCCTTTATGTGTGTTTGGGTTGTATCTAGGGTGTTTGCGTGCGTGTTTGTGTTGTGTGGGAATTGTGAGCAATGAGTGTGTTATGTTCCTCTTGTCTGTTAGTTGTGTGTGAGGGAATTTTGTGTGTTAATTGTGTGTAGTCATCTAGTTATGCTTGCGGACGGTTGAGCTCTGGCTCTTTGCTACCGCCTCTCAACAGTCAATCTACTGGTGAACAGATTCCTGAGCTTTTCGAGCTCTATCGTATGTACATTTGAAACTGTGTATGGAGTCAGCCTCCACCACATCACTGCCTAATGCATTCCATTTACTAACAACTCTGACACTGAAACAGTTCTTTCTAACGTCTCTGTGTTCAACTATGTTCAAGTAGTCATTTGTAGGAGGATTCCATCAGCTTGTGCAGGTCATCTTGTATCCTCATGCAATCTTCCTGTCATAATCCACCCCATAATTTTCGCATCAACGGCAAACATTGAGAGGAACTAGTTTATTCCCTCTGGGAGATCGTTTACACATATCAGAAACAGGAAAGGTCCAAGGATTGAACCCTGTAGGACTCCACTGATGAAGCCTCACCACTCTGAGACCTCACAGTGATTCATTGCCTTCTGTTGCTTATGTACTCCCTTATCCACAGGTGTAACTTCACTGTTATTCATGCCTGTATCTCCAACTTATGTAGTAGTCTCCTGTTGGGTACTGTGTCAAAGACTTTCTGGCAGTGTAGACGATGAACCATAATAACGTGGCTTAAATATGAAGACAAAACTAAACACTAGAAATGAGAGAGAGAGAGAGAGAGAAAGAGAGAGAGAGAGAGAGAGAAAGAGAGAGAGAGAGAGAGAGAGAGAGAAGAGAGAGAGAGAGAGAGAAAGAGAGAGAGAGAGAGAAAGAAAGAGAGAGAGAGAGAGAAAGAGAGAGAGAGAGAGAGAGAGAGAGAGAGAGAGAGAGAGAGAGAGAGAGAGAGAGAGAGAGAGAGAGAGAGAGAGAGAGAGAGAGAGAGAGAGAGAGAGAGGAGAGAGAGGAGAGGGAGAGGAGAGAGAGAGAGAGAGAGAGAGAGAGAGAGAGCGAGAGAGAGAGAGAGAGAGAGAGAGAGAGAGAGAGAGAGAGAGAGAGAGAGAGAGAGAGAGGAGAGAGAGAGAGAGAGAGAGAGAGAAGAGAGAGAGAGAGAGAGAGAGAGAGAGAGAGAGAGGAGAGAGAGAGAGAGAGAGAGAGAGAGAGAGAGAGAGAGAGAGAGAGAGAGAGAGAGAGAGAGAGAGAGAGAGAGAGAGAAGAGAGAGAGAGAGAGAGAGAGAGAGAGAGAGAGAGAGAGGAGAGAGAGAGAGAGAGAGAGAGAGAGAGAGAGAGAGAAGAGAGAGAGAGAGAGAGAGAGGAGAGAAGAGAGAGAGAAGAGAGAGAAGAGAGAGAGAGAGAGAGAGAGAGAGAGGAGAGAGAGAGAGAGAGAGAGAGAGAGAGAGAATTTTTTTTTTGTGAGTTTTCCTACCCACATATCAGGCTCGTCCCTTGATCCTGTCGTAACTGACCTTCCTGCAAATATTGTTAATTGCAGACCTCTGGGATATGTTGGTTCTTCGGACCACCAGGCTGTCTTTACTACACTGGCTATCCCGACAGATCGAGGTGAAGAATCTGTTCGTACTACCTGGCTATGGGACAGAGGGTACTGGCCAGCCCTACGTTCAGAGCTTGAAGTAACTGATTGGCATGCCTTGCTCCAGGGGGACGTGAACAGCCAAGTAAACGCTTTCACCAGTCATATACTGGACCTCCAGTATAGGCATATCCCTCACCGGCAGTATGTGACCAAGCCCACTGATCAGCCTTGGTTTGGATATCGGTGCCGGATGGCAGCTGAAGCCAAAAACAAGGCCTGGAGGAGATTTAAACGGCATCCCTCTGCTCATAACAGAAACATTCATAGACAATCTTGTCGATAATGAAAGAAGTTCAAAAGTGGGCTATATCCAGATGGGAATCCGAAACTCGAAGAAACTTGCATCTGGAAGGGTTGGATCCAGGTCTGGTGGTCCCTGGTGAAGGATCGGCAGGGTACTCATCTGAGGACACAATCCCACCTCTAAACAGAGAAGATGGTACTGTGGCAACCAGCAATCAGGAGAAGGCTGATTTACTGGCAAACCACTTTGCTTCCAAGATGCAGGTCCCTGATCCTGAACGTCAGCCTCCACATCTTGCCCCATGCACTGTGTCTAAGTTGACTGAAGTGGTTATAAATCAGGCTGAAGTTCTCCATCTCCTTAACACCTAGACACAAGCAAAGCTGTGGGGCCAGATAAGGTCAGTCCAAGACTACTACGCTGCTGCGCTGACCTGTTGGCTCCACCTCTCACGCGCCTCTTCCAACTGTGCCTAGTTCAAGGAATTTTGGCCCTCCTTATGGAAGAAGGCAGACGTTGTTCCAGTGCACAAAAGAAGAGCCGCTCAGTAGTTGGTAACTACAGACCTGTGTCACTGCTTTCCATTACTGGCAATATCCTAGAATCATTAATTGCTCAGCAAATGACATCATTTTTTGACCGTCATCGGCTAATTTGTGATCGACAGTATGGTTTTAGAAAAGGCCGATCTGCTGCTGATCTTTTGCTAAATCTCTCCTCTAAGTGGCATCAGTCACTGGATGAGTCCAAGATCAGCTGTGTTGTTGCTCTAGATATAGCAGGAGCCTTTGATCGGGTCTGGCACTCTGGATTAGCAGTGAAGCTTCAAGCTTTAGGCATTGCAGGCTCCATCTAGTGTTTATTAAAAGACTACCTTCAAGAACGGACTCTAAGGGTGGTCCTCAATGGAGCAGAATCCGATAGCCACTCAATTGGTGCCAAGCGTTCCACAGGGTAGTGTGCTTGGCCCTCTGCTGTGGAATGTTATTTCAACGATCTTCTTCATCTCATTCCTGAAGCTCAAGCCTATGCTGATGACTGTACTCTAACCTTTACATACAGAAAGGAGGAAATGCTAACTGCTGCAAGAATCATTAATCACAAACTTTCAGCAATTTCTACCTGGGTAGGAGATGGCAGGTCACATTTGCGGCCTGAGAAGACTCAAGCGATGATGATAACTAGACTGCACATGGCGAATCGGACAGAACTGCAAATGGGTGGCAAATCCCTAGAGTTCACAGAAGAATTTGACATCTTGGGAATGAAGTTCGACTCTTCAATGACAATGAAGAGCCATGTGTTAAACTTAGCTAAAAGGCAGCCAGGAAACTTACAGCACTACGGCGCATCTCATATCTTCTTGACAGCAAGGGATGCAAAACCTTATATGAAGCACAAGTTCGCTCCCATCTTGAGTATGCACCCCTTTCCTGGATTGCCTGCCCCCCATCTTTCGTCAGACTGTTTGGACAAAGTGGAGAGACGGGCTAGAAGGCTTATATCTAGTCTTGACCAAGTCTGGTGGAACGCGTCTGAACATCAGAGCCTGCAACACCGTCGGGACGTTGTTGGTCTTACTGTTATGTACAAGGCCAACATCCTCAAAGTTCCGCACTTGGCCCAACTCCGTGGAGTACCAGTAGTTCCCACTCGTAACACTAGCTCTCTCACCTTGGCAACCTTCACAGTCTCATGCTGGAAGTGCCATTCTCAAGAACATCACTCCACTCAATCCATCAGCGTTCATTTCCTTCCGAACTACTTACTCGCATCTGGAACTTGTTCGCTCAAAATAGAAGGTAATCTTAGTTCCTTTCTCATGTTAACAATTCTGACAGTTCTAGGACAACCCAGGATGATGCGCATGGCATCATTCTGTACTACATCTAGGCCTTGTAATTGTTTAGGAAAAAAATTAAGAAGAAGCAAGGCATAATAATCAACAACAGATCGTATAAAGGCAATATAAAAACTACGAGCATATTTTATGTTAATGCCAAATCCTTTGCCAACAAGAGTTCTGAGAGGTTTAAGACGCTCAACAAATTTTTTGCGCAGGTTGCTGATGAGATTTGTATCATTAACCTCGACTCCAAGATATTTATAAGACTCACAAGTCTCCACGGGCACTACAATAATAGTATAGTTAACATGAAGAGAATGAGGAATAAGAACCCTTGTTTTATCAACAGAGATTATGAGGCCACATTCTACTACTTTCTTGGAGAATGCATCAAGTAACACTTGTTGCCTTGGTTTACTGTGTGCCATAATACAAATATCATCAGCATAACATATAACAGTTTCCGTAGGTTGTACATGTATGTCATGGATAAGTTTGTGCATAAGTATATTGAAGAGCATAGGGCTTAGGACACCACCTTGAGGTGTGTCCAGTTCGAATGCATCTGTTCTTGTACTTTTGACTCCTTTAAATAGGACACTAGCACGCCTGTTGGATAGGTAGCTCTTTATCCAGTTCAGAAGATTACCTGAAATTCCAATTAACAGATTGGTGTATGGTACGTAATAGGTGCATAACAATTGTAAGCAATTGGCTAGACACAATAAGATTGACAACCCTGGAAACACAAACCGAAACTGTCTCTATTTTCCGCTTGTTACAACTTGTAATAAAGTTGTTACATCTTGGCTTAACGTGTTTATGACGTATTACAACGTTGATACAACCTGCTATATTGGTTGCTATAACTCGTTAGGAGGTGTTTAAACTTGTTCGAACATTGTACCAACGTCGTAGTTTCGATGTGTGTTTGGCGGGTAGGTGTTAACAGGGCCACTTGAGGTCATGCCCATGTCTGTTTCACACGCTATCAACAAACTGTCGGATTATGTTAACACTGTAATTACCTCAACAGTGATGATGAGCTAGTTATAGAGGTTAACTGTCCGGTTAAATTGTCTTCGACGAGAGGGCGCTCACTTGGACACATCCCAAAGGCCCACAAACCAAGCGATAAAAAATGGCCGCTAACCATGCAAACCAAAATGCCCGCAAAGAACACAGGCAAAAATTACTATGAATCACACGAGCCAAAATGCCCGCCAACGCGAGCAAATAACGCTCGCTAACCATGAGAGCAAAAATAACTGCAAACCATGCTAGCAAATGTCCACAAATCACGCGAGCAAAAATTCCCACTAGCCACACAAGTAAAAAAGCCTGATATCCACGTGGACAAAAATGCCCGCTGAATACGAAAGCAAAAACTCTATATTAATAAACTGTATAAATATACTATACATTAATGTCGTTGAAAACCACCAAATTTAAATTTACTTACAGGTATTCATACACATACATTTGGAAGAATTTCTGGCACTCCTGAAGCCAAACTTTTAACTTTTTATTGCATTTCTCAGCGTCATTGACAGTTAAGAATACTTACATTGCTGAGTTGACTATGTCGAATACGTCCATACTTACAAAACACAAGTGCCTAATGTAGCAGATAATTTAGTTTTATTTAGACTTTAATTTATATTAAAAAGCAACCCATAATCCTGTTTAGATAGTCCTTATAGTAACAGTGTGGATCATCGTACATATAACGACGGAATGGACAATTAGATAGTAGAATTGGTACTAATCACTTTACAGTTTGAAAAAATAAACCTTAAAACATAACTTAAATATTCCTAGGCCTAATATAGGACATGTACGTACCATATTAGGCCTCAGATAGCATGTATTAGGCCTAGCTTGGTTAGGTTAAGTTAGCTTTTATTACCAACATATATACTAAACCTTTTCCGGTTTGTCTAAAGTCAATACTACGACAATCTACATTCTAACTGTCCATTAGGATGTACGAAGGTCCACAGGATTGCTGTAAGTACCGTCTGAACAGTCGAACGGGCTCTTAAAAAAACATTTAAAAATAATAGTGAACTTCAGTAACAACTAAAACAGTTGTTCATGTAAGTCAACAAATGTGTGTGGATGTCCTAGGCTTCACGGACACAAGGCTTCATTAACAGGACAATGCAGCATTTTACGTCTTAAGACGTGTCGCTTATTTAATTTAACACGTGAGGTTATATACAAGAGGAACGTTTAATTTTCAAATTACTGAAAAGCTTCAAGTTTGGAGATTATAAGTTAACATTCTTGCTGGCCCAATATCTCAAGGCTACTTAAAATGTCAAAACTCTTAAAATCGTCAAGTGTTCGCCCTGATTTAGAAAAAAATTATTTAAACTATAGACTTCACCCCCATTACCCAGCGACAAACATTGCTTAACACTGGGGGAAAAAAAATATATACACGTAAAATTGTCTTACTTTTTAATATGAAAAATAAATGTATGTACATTTCAAGCGTAATTAAAGTGAGGATTATTTCCCCCAGGAATGGATGAAGCCTCAACCAGAAACATTATTTTGTGGGGAAAACTGACTAACAGGATTTTGTTATTGATTTAATTAATGTGGATTTTCTTTACTAAATTATTTATATTAAACTCACTATTAATTTCTTACTTTATAGAGAGTGGAATGTATGATTTATATTTGTCCTGCTAATAGCTTTCTTTCATAGGCCTGGTGGGGGGGGGGGATTTATAGGGAATACCAAATCGAAATTAATCTATTGGTAATATTCTACTGTCAGACTACAGTGCTACAGTGACGTGACACAGTAGTGCAGCAATACTGTGCCAGGGTGGTGTGGCTCTCAGTAACACAAGAAAAAATCCTGCTTTGGCCCCTTGCAGGTGTAAGTCGCAGGCAGAAATAAAAGAGCACCATCAGATAAATAATTAAAATTATTTACTGTAATATATATGAACAAAAAATGGCGCCTGAGAACACTTGGCTCATATAGCTCAAACTTGAAACAATAGAATAAGTAAACTGTAACACGAATAAACTGTACAAGGAATACAAAGAATATACTGGTAAGCTATAGATATCCACCATACCACCACAGCATCCGACACACGACGTAGCCTGGTAGCAGACGACGGGTGAGAGAGCCTAAGGTGATCCCACGAGCACCAGGGAGAGAATGGCTCCCCTGGATTGATTGATTGATAAAGATTAAGCCACCCAAGAGGTGGCACGGGCATGAATAGCCCGTAAGTGGTGGCCCTTTTGAGCCATTACCAGTATCAAGAGATGATACTGGAGATCTGTGGAAGTGACGGGAGATGTCTCCCGGACCAAATGGTGACCAAATGGCGAGTCTCCCCTGGGTGGCGGTGCCCTCTATATAGCCCGGCGGTGATGACGTCACTTCCGGTATCAACGCAAGTTAGAGCAAGCGCCTGGCAGCAAACTGCTAGTACGCTGCTGGCGGCACAGCTGGGTAGAGGCTGTTGAACTAATAGTTAAATGCGGTAAACTGCGTGTTTGCAGACGCTAACTGCTAGTTAGCGGAGGCACCGCTGCCTGTCGGTGAGCCGTACCAAGCTCTTAGGCAGGGGGGGGGGTGAGGAGTTGTGGGGCATGGGGCAGGTCAGATGACTCGTCGTGGCTGTCATAGATGCGGACTTCCAGTATGAAGACATAGAAGGTGAGTGGGAAAAGGCAGTTCCAATGCTATGCAGGAGACTTACGTGACACTTTGTTTACAAGAACAGTTAAATAATGCTTTGTTTAGCTTAGCTGGTTTTGTAGAATGTCGTCTGGTTCTTAATAATAGGCCTGTCTAGATCCCGTCACCTCAGTCTCCTTGTAGACCATGAGTTTAATGGCGTCTCTACAAATGATGTGAAATCCAGTTAGGATGCTACCAATATTTCCTTTCGTCTCAATTTCGTCTGCCGAAAGTTTACATTACAGAACAATAATAAGAACCTGTGGCAGATGTGACAAAAAGAATGATATTTTATATGATTAATTAAAGCTTACCTGTTCTGGGTAGCCTGCCTTACCAATTAACACATATATACATATATGGCCAAATATGAAATATTATATACGTTAATCATATTAGTATGTTAAACTAGAACACTTCTCAATAGCTTTCGTAGTGGAGGTGATGAGTGGAGACTGGCGTCCCTCAACAGCCATGACTGGCGTCCCTCAACAGCCATGACTGGCGTCCCTCAGCAGCCGTGACTGGCGTCCCTCAGCAGCCTTGACTGGCGTCCGTCAGCAGCCGTGACTGGCGTCCCTCAGCAGTCGTGACTGGCGTCCCTCAACAGCCGTGACTGGCGTCCCTCAGCAGCCGAGACTGGCGTCCCTCAGCAGCCGTGACTGGCGTCCCTCAGCAGCCGTGACTGGCGTCCCTCAGCAGCCGTGACTGGCGTCCCTCATTAGCCGTGACTGGCGTCCCTCAGCAGCCGTGACTGGCGTCCCTCAGCAGCCGTGACTGGCGTCCCTCAACAGCTGTGACTGGCGTCCCTCAACAGCCGTCACTGGCATCCCTCAGCAGCCGTGACTGGCGTCCCTCAGCAGCCATGACTGGAGGGAAGTTTCTCAGTGTTGGCCGGGCAAGGTAGGCTGCGTTCATAACTGCGTCACCCCAACTGCTCCAGGGTCCAGATTCACGCAAACACTTACACAAACACTTACGAATCTGTACATCTTTCCTCAATCTTTGGCGGCTTTGTTTACAATTATTAAACAGTTAATGAGCTCCGAAGCACCAGGAGGCTGTTTATAACAATAACAACAGTTGATTGGCAAGTTTTCATGCTTGTAAACTGTTTAATAAATGAATCCAAAGCCGTCAAAGATTGAGGAAAGATGTACACGTTCGTAAGTGCTTGCGTGAATCTGGCCAGGGGGTGCGTCCCCACCAAACGGTTCTGTATTTGTCATATATCGACAATGGAAGGAGACCTTGTTTTTATTTGTGATTTAAATATATCCAGGCTTGGAGAATACTTTTTTTCCATTCTGGTCCCTAGACTGGTGGTTTAAATGATTTGTTATGTTTATGGGCTAATTTAATCTGGGAATGTGGCAACATATCTCATTATCTAAGAGACGCCACAAACCCAAACTTCTTAGCATAGTTATCTAAGGTATTTAGGATTATTATCTACTTAACATGAACAGCAATTATTTGTTAACATATCATGTTAAAGGTTAATTATTGGTGTTGAAATTTCCGACATATTTTCTCATCAGTGGAGTAATTCCAATATACCAACCCATCGTGTTTAGATAGTTTTTGTAACTATGTGCACAATAGTACAAAGATTGACGTACTAAACAATTAGATAGTAGAATTTTGTACTATTCACTTTACAATTAATAAAAAGTTTGGGAAAAAAAAAAATATATATATTTCTAGGCCTTGAATTGCACACACATTTACTGTATTATGCCTTAGAGCGCATGTATTAGGCCTAGGAAGGTTAAGTTAGGTAAGTTTAGTTTGTCTTTGCAACATACGTAGAAAATCGTTTCCGTTTCGTCAAAATTGAATAGTACCGATTTCTACTTTCTAATTATGTTGCACGTGGGTATATGTACTCTGGTTCTCACCCTTCCTGTAAGTACTACCCATACAGGAGAATGGGCTGAAAATGTACATGAGCTGTTCAAATTATAAATAATAGTTTTTGTTATAAATCCTCTTTCTGTCGGGTTGACAGGGATGTTGGAAGCCTTCTCTGCCACCCCCTTTTACCTCATTATTTTCGCGTTAAATAAAAATAAAAAAATCTTAAAGGTCTTGACTTTTCTCTTATGAATTAGAGAAAAATCTTATATTTGTGTAAAATCGTCAAGACTAGCACCGCCTTAAGTAATATTACTAACATTGCCTCGGTGCAATAAATAGCTCAACTCTGAAAAATCGTCAATTAATCAACAACGTTTTGCATAGCAACCGCTGCTCTCTTGTTTTCCAGATATATAAATTGTGTTTTAGAACCTACGGCTCAGCGGAAGAACTGATGCTAGCGAGAGAGTTTGGGAGCTGGACGGAGCTGAATTATTCAGGATCGACCAACCTCAAAACCTGTCAACGAATGTACACAGACGCCAGAACAAAAGAAACTTAACCAATCTTAGAATTATGACTGTATCGTGCGATGTGTAATTGGTCCTCTGAACCAGAGAAGTTTGTCTCAACCTACAAAGTCCTGTCAAATGAAGATCTCTCGTGTGATGAATTAAATTCTGATATTTATGCTCATAGACTGTCATATCTTAACAAAGTTATGGACAAATTAATAATGGAAGTTGGAACTAGATAATGTGTAGTATTTTAAGGTGCTGATGGAGGTCGTTGTAGTGGCCATAACGATGAGCTGTAGTATACACAGTCTAATACTGCAACTGATGACATGTCATGACATTTGACTCCTTTCTGCGTCTCAGTCTTAGTGTTGGAAAATGAACTCGTGGAGTGCACATTATCCCCGTCGTTGGGAGTCTTTATGGAAGAATCACAACTCCAGTGGAATTACCAGGAGGGACAGTGTGTGTATCCGCCTTCATCCAGTAATAACATTTTCTGAATATATTTTTCTTGAAAAAGTTATAGATACAATCAGGCAGCTCCCCACTTCACGTTGATGCAGAAAAACCTGAGTTTTCTTTCCTATTTATATTTCCAGATTGGAAAGGAAAACAATTATAGATATACAAAATTGCTCAGAATATTGTGACAACAATGATAAATTCCTAGAGCAAGTGACAGGTCAGGAAAGATAATGTTAGGAAGAAGTGTTGTTAATGATGTTACAGTGATGTTAATAATAACAGTGATGTTAATAATAACAGTGATGTTAATAATAACAGTGATGTTAATATATTACTGGGGAATAGAGCAAGAGATAAACATAAAACATAAAAGTCATCAGATTATAGAAGGACTGAGTGTCGGGATATTGTCTGTGGTCCGCTACCACCCTGCACATGCCTCACAGGAGCGTCAACACACATTCAGATTTTGTTATAGAAAGTAAATTAAAATAACAGACAAAGCCTCGCGTCCTCACATCACAGGACACGTGGGTCCTGTCTATGTATCAGCTCCCATTCTAGCAAGCTTTCTAAATTGTTTATTTACATACGTTGAACTGATCTAACAACGAAGAAGCATTATTTAGCGAAAAAATATATATTAAACAATGGAAATCGACATTGTTTTAAAACATCGTAACGTAGACGGTCAAAATCTTTGTACTAAAGCATTGATTGAAGCCAGGGTGTAGTGGCCTGAAGCCAGGGTGTAGTGGCCAGAAGCCAGGGTGTAGTGGCCAGAAGCCAGGGTGTAGTGGCCAGAAGCCAGGGTGTAGTGGCCAGAAGCCAGGGTGTAGTGGCCAGAAGCCAGGGTGTAGTGGCCAGAAGCCAGGGTGTAGTGGCCAGAAGCCAGGGTGTAGTGGCCAGAAGCCAGGGTGTAGTGGCCAGAAGCCAGATTCACAAAAGCACTTACAAACGTGTACACTTATTAAACAGTTTACAAGCATGAAAACTTGGCAATCAACTGTTGTTATTGTTATAAACAGCCTCCTGGTGCTTCGGAGTTCATTAACTGTTTAATAATTGTAAACAAAGCCGCCAAAGATTGAGAAAAGATGTACAGGTTCGTAAGTGCTTTCGTGAATCTGGCCCCAGTTTGTTAAGCACACAAAACACGTGAGAGATGCACACGCTCCGTTCTACACTTTAAACCTCAAACCCGCGGCCTCGGAGGCTCTCTGACTTAACCCTCCAGCGAGCACCGGCTCAACGGCAGCTTCCTCACTCACACCACGACACATAGCACAGTTAATTGAGTCATTACATGGCTTAGTGTGGAGCATCCAGCATCCCTGGAGCCTAGTGTGGAACATCCAGGATCCCTGGAGCCTAGTGTGGAGCATCCAGCATCCCGGGAGGCTAATGTGAAGCATCCAGGATCCCTGGAGCCTAGTGTGGAGCATCCAGGACCCCTGGAGCCTAGTGTGGAGCATCCAGGACCCCTGGAGCCTAGTGTGGAGCATCAAGGACCCCTGGAGCATAGTGTCGAGCATCAAGGACCCCTGGAGCCTAGTGTGGAGCATCAAGGACCCCTGGAGCCTAGTGTGGAGCATCCAGGACCCCTGGAGCCTAGTGTGGAGCATCCAGGACCCCTGGAGCCTAGTGTGGAGCATCCAGGACCCCTGGAGCCTAGTGTGGAGCATCAAGGACCCCTGGAGCCTAGTGTGGAGCATCCAGGACCCCTGGAGTCTAGTGTGGAGCATCAAGGACCCCTGGAGCCTAGTGTGGAGCATCCAGGACCCCTGGAGCCTAGTGTGGAGCATCCAGGACCCCTGGAGCCTAGTGTGGAGCATCAAGGACCCCTGGAGCCTAGTGTGGAGCATCCAGGACCCCTGGAGCCTAGTGTGGAGCATCAAGGACCCCTGGAGCCTAGTGTGGAGCATCAAGGACCCCTGGAGCCTAGTGTGGAGCATCAAGGACCCCTGGAGCCTAGTGTGGAGCATCAAGGACCCCTGGAGCCTAGTGTGGAGCATCAAGGACCCCTGGAGCCTAGTGTGGAGCATCCAGGACCCCTGGAGCCTAGTGTGGAGCATCAAGGACCCCTGGAGCCTAGTGTGGAGCATCCAGGACCCCTGGAGCCTAGTGTGGAGCATCAAGGACCCCTGGAGCCTAGTGTGGAGCATCCAGGACCCCTGGAGCCTAGTGTGGAGCATCAAGGACCCCTGGAGCCTAGTGTGGAGCATCCAGGACCCCTGGAGCCTAGTGTGGAGCATCCAGGACCCCTGGCGCCTAGTGTGGAGCATCCAGGACCCCTGGAGCCTAGTGTGGAGCATCAAGGACCCCTGGAGCCTAGTGTGGAGCATCCAGGACCCCTGGAGCCTAGTGTGGAGCATCCAGGACCCCTGGCGCCTAGTGTGGAGCATCCAGGACCCCTGGAGCCTAGTGTGGAGCATCCCTGGAGCTCTACTCACCTGCATTATAAGCCGTCGCGCGGCCTTCATCTAATGCCTTCAGAAAATTTCCTCACTCAGTCAAGTCAGCACTTTCTTGCCTACCAATATTCTCATGACATAATGCCCTCTGCTCTACCTCCCTGCTCTACTGTCCCTGCTCTACTGTGCCTGCTCTACGGGTCCCTGCTCTACTGTCCCTGCTCTACTGTCCCTGCTCTACGGGTCCCTGCTCTACGGGTCCCTGCTCTACGGGTCCCTGCTCTACGGGTCCCTGCTCTACGGGTCCTTGCTCTACGGGTCCCTGCTCTACGGGTCCTTGCTCTACGGGTCCCTGCTCTACGTGTCCTTGCTCTACGGGTCCCTGCTCTACGGGTCCCTGCTCTACGGGTCCTTGCTCTACGGGTCCCTGCTCTACGGGTCCCTGCTCTACGGGTCCCTGCTCTACCGTCCCTGCTCTACCGTCGCCGTGTAACACCATGATTTTATTTAATATATCACATACAACGAGACAGTCACTAAGGATTTTGGTGGTGTCAGGCAGTCGGCCTCACCAATTCAGGGGCAACACCTTTTCAAGTGTTAGTTGTTCACACTTTGAATAGAGGTCAGGCCGCATCATGTGACCTTGCTCTCTCCTAATCTGATAACTGCAGACGCGTGGCTGCATTGTTTATATCAAACAAGCCGCTATCTAGGTGTGGTAGGAAGATAGCCAGAGGCTATCCTGGTAGGCAGAGCCTAGCTCCCGGTTCCACCTTAAATACCCGTGGAACTGTACATTAGAGACTGATGGATAGATGCAGAGAGGGTGAGAGGAACTTCGCTAGATATACACACGGCCTGTCCCCGGCTGTTGGTCAGCCGTATCAGCCCTCCGTGTTAACCATCTTGTAATCAGAGAATGATAGTGAGTGAGAGTTTAAGATTAACGTAAATTTAGTGTTTTCCAATCTAAGTGTTGTGTAATTTTCCAGGGCTGTCAGCTGGGTGATTGATACATGAATTATTATTTCTTTAACACAAACTCTGTTGATTTATCAAAAATTAAGTAGAGTCGACCCTCTTTTTTTTTTTAGATATATACAAGAGTTGTTACATTCTTGTAGAGCCACTAGTACGCGTAGCGTTTCGGGCAAGTCCTTAATCCTATGGTCCCTGGAATACGATCCCCTGCGACCCTCGACCACATATACGACCCTTATAACATATACCTAATAAACTTTTCAAATCAGGTTTAATTATTATTTAATATTATATTGAATTTTACCATCAAATTGAATTTTATTTCTCCATTTTATTGAGTTTTATAGACAGAATTTACTGTCAACTGTCAAGGGCCATTAACACAGCTTTGACTTTCCAAGCTACAACAAAGTTTGGAAAGCTGACTGGGTGTGTTTGCTTGGAGATACATATATGCCTCTAGAAGCATGCAGGTCATAGCTGGAGTTTTTCTCAATGTCTTGTGTCATGACTCTAATTGTGAATTAATGTTGACATTTGAACATCAAGTGAAATGGCAGAATTATGATTCTTATAATAGTAAATATATAAATGATTAACTTAGTTTTACAAAATTTTCTTTAATTCTGATCTGTTGATCTTGGATAGGGAAGGCTCGAGTGGAGAGCACTCTGAAGTTTTATGTCTTAAAGATTCTGGTCTTCGGTTAATAAGGTTTATTAATAAGGTTATAAGGTAATAAGAGATAAGGTTTCCATGTTTACAGATGACACGTGATAACACCACATAATAATATTGTTGTACACACAAGTTACATTACTTGTCTTATAGTTACTATTGAATGGATGGTGGCAGCACTTTCTACTCTTCGACTCTACTCTTCTACTACTCAACTCTCAACTCTTCTTTCATACTTTTTAACTCTTTACTCCTTTCTACCTCTTTCCTTCTCCGCCCATGTTCTCTCATTCTAAACGTTCCCTTTGCCTCACCACTCTTCCTCACTCCTCACTTCCATCTCCCTCCCTCCCTCATCCTATGAGATTTCTTCCTTTCTTTTCTTAAATTTCCGACACGTTACACCTGCTCCACCATCCCTGCTCTACGGGTCCCTGCTCTACGGGTCCCTGCTCTGCGGGTCCCTGCTCTGCGGGTCCCTGCTCTGCGGGTCCCTGCTCTACGGGTCCCTGCTCTACGGGTCCCACCTCAGCATGTCTCTTTATTAAAGCTGAACGTGAGTTAAGAAATAGAGAGATAACTTAAGCTTGAATAAATCCACAAGGGCCGTGATGAGGGTTCGAACCTATGCACGGGATGTTCCCAGAAGCACCTGTCATCTGTACCACGACATAGTAAAATAATTGCAACCTGGAGTGCTACTGCCCTCACGAGGGTCCCGAAGCTACTCCGAAGCCCAATTGGGGTTTCACACAATTCCTTCGTGCACCCGGGCTCCGTCAACCAAATGTTCTACCTCTACGCCCTTATACACACAGAAATCACAATAGCGTGATATATCAAATGAACAAATCCACAAGGGCCGTGGTGAGAGTTCGACCCTACGCACAGGATGATCCCAGAAGCGCCTACGTTAACCTGGGAAGTACTTTTAAATCACATTACGAGTATATGAATGCCACTAAGTGTATCAGTATTCATCTCAGAAGAAATGCAACAACAAACATACGCAAAATAATCACCAAACTTGATAGTCACACAAATATATTACACAAAATCCATAATTATTCCTGGGATCAATACTATCTCCAAGGGGAAAAGGGACGGAATATTACAAAGCTACACGCAAAAGTCCTGGCACTTGACCGTCAGATGTATCGCTGCAGCTGTGGGCCGTCGGCATGGACACCCTGGGATAGTGTAGCTCTCGTTCACTGTTGATGATCATCACTGCCTCGCTCTCTTCTCTGGCGTTGTGTTGACGTGCAGTGTTGACGAGGCGTTAATCCTGCCTGACTGCAGGAAGGTTATTGATGTAGTGAGAACCACAGCTTCTTATTGTGCTGTTACCACACACTGAGTGTGCGATTTGTTGACTCCCTCGGTATAAAATATAATTCTTAAAATTATTAGAACTAAACTACTAAAATGTATAAGGGCTCCTTAGCTGTTGTCTGTTGAAATTCTCCAGTAGTAGTATGTTTCCGTGGCTCCTGGAACTACTCTGCGTTACTGAATGGACTGTGGATTAGTCCGCTGGACGCTAGAGGGAGAGGACGTGTTTACCCTCGGCTCTTTAATTTGTGTGCAGGCCGAGGTGGTGGAAGTCGTGTGGCTGGGTTGGCGCCCTGCCAGCGTGCAGTGGGGTCTACCACGTCTCCCTTCAAGAGGGTTGCATTGGCTAATTTGGTGCTGTCCTCACCGGTGGATAGCACCTTGCTTGGAATTGTGTTGCTCAGCGCCTTCAAGATCGTCGTGCGGTGGTTAAATTTATACATCAAGATGTGTTCCAGGAGTTCCTAGGTCGGTGTGAGGGGCGGTCTTTCCTTCTACCTGAAAGAGCGGCCACCGTTCCCGTCTTTAATCTGATTGTGACATTGATGTATGTTGGGGGTGCATGCATGGTGATCCTTTTGATATGGCTGATGGGCTGCTGACCTGGTTGTTTGGGCAGTTTGGTAATGTCTTAAGCATTCGGTGGAATAAGGTCTCTGCTGGCCACTGTCAGGAGATGCTTGCTGGCTCCCGGACTGTGACGATGTCCCTGGACCGGAGAGTCCCGTCTTCGTTATCCCTGAAGGAGTTTACACTCCACTGTCTGTCTAGAGGTGAGCCCCTGTACTTGTTATAAATGTGGCCAGCAGGGCCACCTGGCACAGGCTTGCTCCGCTGGAGCAGCCGATCGTGTCAACATCTTCAGGGAGGGGGATTTTCCGCTCCACCGTTCCCAGGACGATTCTGCAGACGTTGTCCCCTGGTGAAGTTGGGCCGTCTCCCAGCCTTCCGGAAGTTTCTCCTGTGTGTGTCCATGTCCCGGATGCCTGCAAGGAGCCGGTAGAGCGCTCTGTGCTACCAAGGGTCGACATTCCGCCGGTGTGTGTTGTTAGGGATACGCCTGTAGTTAGAGGATGACATTGGTGTGGTGGTTGAGGATGTGGTTGTCCCGGAGCAGGGACTGGGGGACGTTGCTTCCTCGTTACTAAGGACGTGTGGGCGCCCCCCCCCCCCCCACCCGAGTGTGGATGGGTCTCGGTGGTGGGGTTGTTGAGCCTGGTGATGGTGGTTGCAAACGCCATAATTTGCAGTTGATGCTTAGGAAAGCGTCTGTGGCCTCTCCTCTTGGGGATTCTGCCTCTTTGTGACCTCCCTGCTCCTCGGGTTTCTGTGAAAGTTTATCGGCCTGATTTACAGTTGTCTTAGGACAATATAGCGCCTTCTGGGAGGTGTACTATCCCTGACCTGTGATTTGGGCTGCATCCCCACTTTATAAAGTTTATGTGTGTTTCCTTTCTCCTGTTATTTTGAATGGGTGGTTGCGTGCGTTGGTTGTGTGTAGTATATGATGTTAAGCAGTTTTTGGGGAGGGAATTGAGTTGGAGTCCGCCCTTCCTTGTCCTGTTCCTGGGCGGTATCCGACATTGTCATGTGTCTTGCAATATTTTGTTTTCCTTGCCATTGTGCTGGCTGGCCCCTTTTGTCTATGGGGTCTTATGTGTTTCTGTCGTGGGGTATGGTGGTGTCTCCCCCACCTTGCTCGCTGGGACAAAGTTGTGTATGTGTTGTGTGCTTGTACTGTTCCATATGTTGGCCTGTACGTGCATGTCCCGTAGTGAGGTTTGGAGGTGTGCACATTCTTGCTTGTTCTGGCTGTGCTGGGTGTAATTTGTGTAGTGTGTTCATTTTGGTTTTATATATTTGTTACATCTAGTCCTTGTGTTTCTTTGCTCATTCAGTTCTTGTGTGTGTGTCTTTATCCTTTGTAAGAGGTCATTTGTATTTGTGGCGCTATCGATGCCATCTGTTGAGTGAGGTGTGATGATATCCACGCCATCTGTGGAGCACTATCGACCACAATTCGTCTAGGAGCTGGGTCGGCGACGATGCCCTCTGTTGAGGGAGGTGACGGTGTCAACGACATCTATTGAGTGCACCAGGTCCACATTTTCTTTTCCCCGGTGAAAGGCTCCTAACATTTTATCTCTGTGTAGTTTCTGTCTTGATAATTATGTTTTTTGTTGGCAGAAGTGATGTAGAAGTATCGTGGAAAGCAAAAATCAGTTTACCCAGGGCAGTCCTGAATTCAAGACATATTCCATCGAGAACAAGTGGCCAGGTCGGTACAGACAGTGAGTTGTTTGTAATATCTGCAAAGATTTAGTAAGTGGTTTAGTAATATGGGAGAACTCAGTGCCAATGCTTAATGCACAGACTTGCTTCTAAACAACATGTTTGAAGTATATAACTTTTGGCATTGGCACTTAGTTCTCCCATATAACAGGGCTTGATGAAAAATGTGAGAAATCCCTCAGTATCTCATTGCCTGGAGAGAATTGGAGTGCTGGTTAGGTGAATACCCTAGAATTCCTACCGCTTTCAGGGCTCTGAAGTATGGTGTAGTGGATACAGTGCGTAACTGCCACCTTGATGGCCAGTGTTTGAGTCCCCTGGTGGGTTGAGTGTCTAAAAGTTATATACTTCAAACTTGTGGTTTATAACAAGTCTGTACATTATATATATATATATATATATATATATATATATATATATATATATATATATATATATATATATATATATATATATATGTCGTACCTAGTAGCCAGATCGCACTTCTCGGCCTACTATGCATGGCCCGATTTGACTAATAAGCCAAGTTTTACTGAATTAATATATTTTCTCTATTTTTTTTCTTATGTAATGATAAAGCTACCCATTTCATTATGTATGAGGTCAATTTTTTTTATTGGAGTTAAAATTAACGTAGATATATGACCAAACCTAACCAACCCTACCTAACCTAACCTAACCTATCTTTATAGGTTAGGTTAGGTTAGGTAGCCGAAAACGTTAGGTTAGGTTAGGTTAGGTAGGTTAGGTAGTCGAAAAAACATTAATTCATAAAAACTAGGCTTATTAGGCAAATCGGGCCTTGCATAGTAGGCTGAGAAGTGCGTTCTGGCTACTAGGTACGACATATATATATATATATATATATATATATATATATATATATATATATATATATATATAATGTCGTAGCCAGAACCCACTTCTATGCCTACTATGCAAGGCCCGAATTGCCTAATAGGCTGAGTGATTTTTGTTATTTTAAATAAATTGTTTCCAAATGGTTTATTTGAATTATTAATATTAAATTAGATTAGGAACATTAAGTATTGACTCAGTTATGTTAGTTTAGGTTAGGTTAGGTTAGGTTAGGTTAGGTAGGGTTGGTTAGGTTAGGTTAGGTTAGGTTAGGTTAGGTTAGGTTAGGTTAGGTAGGGTTGGTTAGGTTAGGTTAGGTTAGGTTAGGTTAGGTTAGGTTAGGTTAGGTTAGGTTAGGTTAGGTAGGGTTGGTTAGGTTAGGTTAGGTTAGGTTAGGTTAGGTTAGGTTAGGTTAGGTTAGGTTAGGTTAGGTTAGGTTAGGTTAGGTAGGGTTGGTTAGGTTAGGTTAGGTTAGGTTAGGTTAGGTTAGGTTAGGTTAGGTTAGGTTAGGTTAGGTAGGGTTGGTTAGGTTAGGTTAGGTTAGGTTAGGTTAGGTAGGGTTGGTTAGGTTAGGTTAGGTTAGGTTAGGTTAGGTTAGGTTAGGTAGGGTTGGTTAGGTTAGGTTAGGTTAGGTTAGGTTAGGTTAGGTAGGGTTGGTTAGGTTAGGTTAGGTTAGGTTAGGTTAGGTTAGGTAGGGTTGGTTAGGTTAGGTTAGGTTAGGTTAGGTTAGGTTAGGTTAGGTAGGGTTGGTTAGGTTAGGTTAGGTTAGGTTAGGTTAGGTTAGGTTAGGTTAGGTTAGGTAGGGTTGGTTAGGTTAGGTTAGGTTAGGTTAGGTTAGGTTAGGTAGGGTTGGTTAGGTTAGGTTAGGTTAGGTTAGGTTAAGTTAGGTAGGGTTGGTTAGGTTAGGTTAGGTTAGGTTAGGTTAGGTAGGGTTGGTTAGGTTTGGTTAGGTTAGGTTAGGTTAGGTTAGGTTAGGTTAGGTTAGGTTAGGTTAGGTTAGGTTGGGTTAGGTTAGGTAGGGTTGGTTAGGTTAGGTTAGGTTAGGTTAGGTTAGGTTAGGTAGGGTTGGTTAGGTTAGGTTAGGTTAGGTTAGGTTAGGTTAGGTAGGGTTGGTTAGGTTAGGTTATGTTAGGTTAGGTTAGGTTAGGTTAGGTTAGGTAGGGTTGGTTAGGTTAGGTTAGGTTAGGTTAGGTTAGGTTAGGTAGGGTTGGTTAGGTTAGGTTAGGTTAGGTTAGGTTAGGTTAGGTTAGGTTAGGTAGGGTTGGTTAGGTTAGGTTAGGTTAGGTTAGGTTAGGTTAGGTTAGGTTAGGTTAGGTTAGGTTAGGTTAGGTTAGGTAGGGTTGGTTAGGTTCGGTCATATATCTATGTTAATTTTAACTCCAATAAAAAAAATTGAACGCATACATAATGAAATGGGTATCTTTATCATTTCATAAGAAAAAATAGAGAAAATATATAAATTCAGGAAAACCTGGTTTATTAGGCAAATAGGGCCTTGCATAGTAGGCAGAGTACGACGTTCTGGCTACTGGGTACAACATATGTATATATATATGTATATATATATATGTTGTACATATATATATATACATATTATATATGTTATATATAATATATATATATATATATATATATATATATATATATATATATATATATATATATATGTATATATATATATATATATTTATATATATATTAGTATATTTTGGTAGCAGTCCTTCTTGTTAAATATGACCGAAAAGGTAAGCCTAAATAATTCTAACACGAATTTTCTCAATATTTATTATATTTCTTTTCACTGTCAATGGTAATTGAAAAATCAATTCTCCAAAATTCATTGTTAATTCTAGTCTGACGCGACAGTTGAACGAGTTTCGTAATAACTTATTACATTTTCAAAGACTTTAGTTTAAACACACAACTGTAACCTGTAAACACGTTAATCCGTCATACTTATAATAGCATTTAGGTGAGGTGATATGGTACAACAATTTTGGATGAGGTGAACAAACTTGTGGCAAACACAAGACAGAACACGAAACAATTGGTAATAATTGGATATGAGAGCATAAGAATGGAAGTAACTGCAGAGGGCCTATTGGCCTATACTTCCTCTTGATGCTTCTATATTGGTTCAGAGTCTTGAAGTGGGTAGAATATAGTTGTGCATTAATTGGCTGTTGATTGCTGATGTTGACTTCTTGATGTGTAGTGCCTCACAGATGTCAAGCCGCCTGCTATCGCAGTATCTATCGATGATTTCTTTGTTGTTTGTTAAGATTTCTCTGATGATGGTCTGGTTGTGAGAGGAGATT